TAGTTAAAGTCCTGTATTATAACCATAGTCTCCTGTAGGGAGAGCGTGATACTTGTGTATAGATCTATATTGGGACTGACAATCCCACACCTTAGCTGCATGCAACAGCTAGACCGGCAGGTCTGGGGTGACAATTGTCAAAACATTCGGACGCCCGAAGTATGCCGTAACAGGCTTACTATGTCAATTGCACGGTTATAATAACTCACATAGGGAAACAATGACACATATAGTTTACGTGGAATTCTTACATTCATAAGGGTTTTATTTGTTTAAAACTGCACTTACTATCATAAGTATGGAAAAATACCTGTACATTTCGATCTTTGAGTCTTAAGACTACAACTCATTTTATAAGGAAAATATCGGATTTTTTTTTAACATACACTACATTTACAAAGAAAGGATTTCAACTCTACATACAAAAGCCTATGCACTCACCAACTTAATTGTTGACATTCTTTCAAAATTACTTGTATTCTCAGGTAATCAATAAAAACATGTAACCACCATCTTTTGAGGATGGAACGCTACGGCGTCAGACAAAACATTTTATCATTATATTATAATCGATTTTGAAACATGTAACTCATGAAACCATGTAACTTTCTCGATTATATTTATGATGGTTGTATATACTTTGATCACTATTATACTCGTTATGATACTATACATGAAGTCCTCCACCCCGGACGTTTCCGCCATCCTTGTTTTGGGGGTGTGACATAATATCACGTTAAGTTAAATCCTATAACATGATTGTCAAATAAACAAAGTCTTGTTTCAAGATCTTCCACATAAGCAAATACAAAACCAATAAATTTGATGTACATATTTGATTCCCCTTTTCACCAAAAATAAAGAAATAAACAACCTACAAAGACTTATGCCTGATATCACTCCAAAACCTCCTATAACAATTTCATACTTACATATAAGCAAGATGTGGTATCTTGCTGATTGGTCCTACATCGTTTTCCATCTTCACTTTTTTGCTGAGTTGCACGGTAATGGATACGGCAACAGGAAACGGATACGGAACGGAATTGCAAAACTAAAAAATTCAAGATACGGATACGATAATGTAAAAATATTAAAAAAACATATGTATATTAAAGAAATTCCAATATATATATATATATATATATATATATATATATATATATATATATATATAATATATATATATATATATATATATATATATAGACGTAAAGTGTAAACTCCAAAAATATAAAATATTTCAAAAGTAATTAATTATCAATAATCAAATGATTTTCAAAATCCGATTGGTCTATTAATGTAGTTGATGATGATCATTGTATTTCATGTTCTTTAGAAGCCATCATAATCGATCTGATTTATGAATTGGTGAATGGTTTGGTGATCGATTGATCATCTGATCATGAGTGATCGATGAGACGAGGCAGTAGACACAGGTTAAGAGTCGATTGGTTTAGGCCTGTAGGGTAATAACGATTAGTATAAGCCTATTAGCCTTTTTGGACTTAAAAAGCCCATGCAAAACCTAAAAAAATGAAAACTTTGCGGAAAGTTCACAAAAAACGTTTCTTGGATACCCGATACGTCACATAAACGTTTCCATGGCATATCCGTTTCCTGGCCGTTTCAGATACGGGAACGTCACCCAAAATGGAGTTTACGTGCTTCTTAGCTGCTTTGAAGCCTGCTTACATTATACACGATATATTGAGCATGAAAACAAATAATTATGAGCAAATAATTGAATATTTTGACTTTAAAATGGGGTTAATCATTAAGCAAGAAGAAACTGAAAGACATGTTCGAATGCCAACACATCTTGAAGAATGAGTTGTATGGATGCCATCAAGAAAGGGTATGATTCTTCAACTTTTTCAGTTCTCTTTACACAGTCAGGCATGGAACAATCCTCAGGAAACATACTAAAAAATGTCAACAAAAAAGCAAACCTGTGGATATTCAGAAATCAGAGCTTAATTGGCACTGGCGGTGGTTCGGTCACCGGTGGAGTCAAGGGTAGCGTGATTGGTGCTTCTCAAAAATTCAGGGAATTAGGAAACAACGAAAGAGACGACTAGGGCTAGAGGGCGTGAGTGTCTGGGAGTCAGGGGCGTGTGTGTTCGGTAAAAATAGATGTTAGCGGATAGCTTCTAGCTGATAGCGTTTTGTTAAACGCAACATGAAGTAGCATTTGAATTTGGAGCGTTCTATTTAAACTGAACGTTAGAAGCTTGTAGTGTCGAACGACACTTTCTGTTTAAAATGGAACGTTTTGTCAAACGCTAGAAGCTAGAAGCTCTCAAACGTCCCTCCCGTGCCGAAACACGCACTTAGACTGTCGGGTATCAACCAATCACCACTTACTTTGACTATTAACGGTCAATTTTTCAAAAAAAAAAATATTAATTAATCAATATTTTTTTACCTATAAATACATATCATATATCCCAATTTTATTCACACCATTCTTCTCTTTCTCTATGTTTTATACAATTTCAATACCTTCTCAAAAAAATTATGGATCCATTCGAAACGTCCAACGATGATGATGATAATATGTTCATCAATATGATGTACGAGTATTACACTAACGAGCTATTACAACAAATTAGTAATTCTAATTTTTTTTAGAACTATTTATAACTTTTGGGTTGTAAAATATAACGTTACCCTAAAATATTCATTAAAACAAATATAAACTAAGCAAATACTTTTTAAAAAACAATTTATTGATTTTTTCCCACCATAAAAGCTAATCCAAACATTTAAAAAAAAATATTTTCCCACTACCATAAGTCAATAAATCATTTTTTGTAAAAAGTTCTTTCAAACTTCAAAATGAAATCTTAAACACCCTCTGAATCCAAGGAATATGAGGGTTAAAATGTATTTTCATGTTTGGGAAGGGTTCTCCTATAGTCCCATTCACGGCCTGGAACCAACTAATGACGTGATTTCTAACCCTCCCGAAAATCATATACCCTAACCGAAATCTTCAGGTATAAGTTTTTTTTTTTTTTTTGACATCCTTACTTTTGACTCTTCGTTATTCTAGGCGCTCATTGCTGATTACAATCCAAGCATTTCAAATTCTTGTGCCATTGCCTTGATTTAAGTTATTACCAGTAGGGAAGATGGGAACTAAAGCTCCAACACACAAGTTAGACCAGGGGGAGTGGGCGCGGTTTCAACCGCGGTTCCACCACATCATCAACCAAAACACCGCCCCCTCTCTATGGTTTCTACCACACTTTCTCTCTCTCTTCACCCAAATAGTGCCGCACTCCTTTCTTTCTCTCTCTCTCTCTCTCTCTCTCTCTCTTCATTCATGTGTATTTCTCTCTCTTCTCCTTTCTCTCACCTCTCTCTTTCTCTACCATAATCCCACACCCTAGGTGTGGTAAAGAACCACAATTTGTGTGGTATAAATGATGTAGCTCCTATATGTCAATGGAGGGAGTGCGGTTCTTGTGACACCACTCCCTCCAGCCTTATTGGGTTGAACTAATTTTAGGCAAAAATAATACTATGGAAATTGAGTAATCTAACCACATTTGAATGTGTATTAGAAGAAAATAACCCAAATTATTTTTAGCAAAACTAACCATTTTGTCGGAAAATGGGCATTTTGGATTAAGAAAAAAAAATTCTGACAAAAAGTACATTTCAGGTTGAAGTTTCCGATTTCAAAAAAAAAAACATCCAGAATTTCAAGAACAAGTCTGAAATCAAATTAATAATTTCGGAATTTCGAGAAAAAATTTGCTTTTTACTTAAATCTAACAAAAAAAACATAGTAATGTGAACTATAAATAATATTAGTGTATTAAATTAGACATTTTATTGAAAAAATGGTGACATTAAACACTTCAAAATGTAGCATTCGGAATCCCAAAAAAATATAAAAAGATTTCTTTGAATAACAATACTCCGGAATGAAGGCACTCCGGAGAAAGTGGTTATTTTTCAAAAACTAAAAAAAATGATTATTTTCTTTAAAAAAACTCATTTATAAACGTTAGATTACTTAATTTCCCATAATACTAAGCTTATAATACACTAGGCTAAAATTATGCCCACTTTATTTATTTCTATTTATTATTTATTTATTTTTTATTATTTTTTTTGTCACGGGCCTTTGCCTAACTCGTACATCTATTAGACTATGCAGTATGAGACAACAATGTCGTGGAGGCGTCTACGTGGCATCTCCACGACGCCGATATAACAGTTGGAACACCGCCCCCTTCTCTTAAAGGTAAGTCTTGTTTGCACACAATGAACCGTCATCTCTCTCTCTCTCTCTCTCTCTCAACACGTGAACACCACCCCGCTTTAGTTATGATATTAATAGTGTAATGTGGCATGTGAGGTGACAAATTTATGATGTTATAACATTGATCCATACCGACCACATTATAACACTCCTTAGTTGTAATGTGGAGATAAAAGGCAAAACCTCTCAAGTCCAAAATGAATGTTGTATCGTCTTCATAACATGCATAAGTTTTGGTTTTTAGGTAATTACCATAATTTTAGTGGTTAGCTCATAAATATAACCTCTTTTCGATTTGACACTCACAGAAAAACGATCTCACTAAAACCATCTCCAATGGATTAAATCCACAGAGAGTTGTATGGATTGTCATGTAGGAAAGAGAATATACACATTCAATTTAATTCTTAAAAAATTCATAAATTTTCATTACAATTCTATTGCACCGATCAATGGTCATTCAACTCCACACGCTCTCTCCTCTATATTATATTCACATTTAATCCATTAAACCCTCATACAACTCCCATTGTGGATGGCCTAAAAACAATTGCCTACTATAACTCCTAATAATAATTGGAAATTCATAAAATAATAATAATAATAATAATAATAATATTAAAAAAGAAAAATTGAAAGTTTTTTAAGTATAATTGTATACATATCATGCAAAATATGATCGTACGCACGTTTATGTTTGTTAAGGTCTTGAAAACAGGAAACCTTTTCAAAGTCAAGAAAAAAGGGGAAAAAGAGGAGTCTAGTTTCTATGACATGGAAGCTTACTTCCACTACTATTTCTTCGAGAATAAGTTGCTGAAGCATCTCGATTTCCGAATCCAGCTTATCATCATCAACTCCCTCTCCCGGCGGCGATGCTCAAAATGGAGGTTCAGGATTTATCCGATGACGCTGATTACGCCGCCGCATCTCAAGAAGTAAGCAACACACATCATAATTACAGTATTATTTGATTACCGAAGAAATCACCTCTAGCAAAAACTATGATTAGAATAATTTGATTGATTATAGTTGTAGAGTACAACCGGTTGATTAGGAGTTTAGGTTATCATGGACAATTGTGAAAGCTACGGTGAAATTTAATTTTATATGAGTTTTTAGGCGTGAAATTGATATGGTTTAATGAGCATCCATTGCTTGCTATCTGCATCCAATCATCTATCACCACCAATTATGCAGCCTGCTGCTGATTTACGAAAATTTTCAGAAATCTAAACTTGATCAAAACAAGAAATCAATCGTGTAATTTTGTCACATAGCATTATTTGGATGTATTCCGAAGATAAAATGTTTTGATACTTCTCATAGGCCTTCATAGACCACCCTTCATAGCAGTATTTGTCTTTATGCCATAAAGTTCATGCTCTTTTGTGGTCTTAAATCTTAATTTCATATCCCATGTATTTTATAAAATTCAATAATTTCGAATATTTTTTTGTGTTATAGGGCATGTTAAGTAGTAAGAAAAGCTCTTTTAGTGATCTAGAAAACGCAGAAATAGTCTACTTGAAGGAGAAAATCACAATTAATCCAACTCAATATGCAGCTGACAGAATCAGTGGGAAGTTAAAACTGATTAAACAAGATTCTTCACTATTTATGGTAATATACTTTCATTGTAAAAATACTTGTCTTTGAGCTATACATCTTCAATCAATATATTTATATTAATAATAATTTTTTTTTCTTTTCAAAATAGACTTGGATACCTTATAAAAGCCGAAACTCAAATGCTAGGCTTTCTGAAAGAGGTTATTGTATATATATAATTATATATAGTTATATACATAATAACACTATGCTTTATATAAAAAATTTGATGTGATTTTTTATGCAGACAAAAATTTATACACCATAAAACCAGTGTCTTTTACTGATATCCAATCAATTCGAGTGCACACTCCAAAAATTGGGTGGCAATATGCTGTTGTTATTCTATCATCTGGTATGATTATAGCAACATTCTACTTTGAAAAATCTTCCTATTTATAGCAATGTCTTTTAATACAAAGCAATTTTCACTGCTATAATTAGAAAAAAAATAAAAGTACATTGATATTTTTTTTTCATGTATATGACTAAAAGCTTTATACAGGTTTAGCATATCCTCCACTTTACTTCTACAATGGAGGAGTACAAGAATTTCTAGCTACAATTAAACAACATGTTTATATTGTTAGGTTTGTTATTCTATTCTATTATTATATAACATAATTTATTAGTAACAAAAATATGTTGATATGATTAACTATTTAACTCAAATGTTTTTAATTCACAGGTCATCAGAAGATACAAATTTATTTCATATAAATAACTTCCAAGATCCTCTTCAGGTGAAATTTTTTTTTTTTAACTAATTTAATATTTTAAATCCTTGTCGGTGTATAATTAATAATTGTTTAAACTTGTGTTTTTTTACTTTTTATTTTTATCGACAGTTTGAAAAAATATCATTGGTATGGGGAAAACCACGACAATCTCCATTACAACTTGAAGAGGTATACCTTGCTTTTTCGATAAATTGCTAGATTACCCCTCATGTTTAGACGTTTTTACAAAATTGGCCTAACAGCTGAAAATTTTTTATGCAGTGGGGAATGTTTTTGGATGCTGAAGGTCGAGTTGTGTCTCCAAGTGATTTAAAGAAGATAATTTTTTATGGAGGAGTGGATCATAGTTTACGTAAAGAGGTTTTTATTTATTTAAATGTTTTAATTTTTTCAAATCGAGCACAAACTACAAATTTAATGTTATTTAATTTCAGATTTGGAAATTCTTATTGGGATATTATGCGTATGATTCTACATTTACACAGAGGCATTATCTTTCCACTATTAAGAAATCGGAATATGAAACCCTAAAAAACGAATGGCAGGTTTGTCATTAATTAGCAACAATTTTCTTTTTTTAATTTCTGAAATAATTATTTATTTTCCAATTGCAGAGTATTTCCATTTCCACAGAGCAATCAATAAAAGAAACCCAATTTAAAGAAACAAAGTTTCTTATTGATAAAGATGTGGTATAAATTTCTTCACTAAATTTCTATAACAACATATTCTTCACTAAATTTCTCGACTTTTTATTTCTATAAATGTTAATTAAATTATTTTGTATTTTTTTTTTCAAGGTAAGAACTGATCGAATGCTACCATTCTATGAAGGAGATGACAATGAAAACGTGAATACTCTTCGTCATATTTTAATGACATACTCATTTTATAACTTTGAAATTGGTTATTGTCAGGTGATAATTTTTTTACTAATTCATTTAACTCCCTTGAGATAATATTAGTTTTTATTTATTTTTGTTAACAAATGAAATATAATAATAAACTTTTACAGGGTATGAATGATTTCTTATCCCCAATTCTTTATGTCATGGAGGATGAGTCAGAAGCTTTTTGGTGTTTTGTTTATTTAATGGAACGATTTGGGCCAAATTTTAAACATGATCAAAGTGGCATGAAATTTCAATTTTTTGCATTGTCAAAGGTTCTTTCTCTCTCACCTTTGTGTGTGAGTGTGTGTGTTTTTCATAAACATTATACATTTAGGTTGTGTTTATCACAAGAGATTGAGAGCGAGTGTTTGACTTTAAATAATATGGTTTCAAATTCAAATTCAAGATAATCATTTATACTTTGTGATCATGAGAATGAGGGTAAATATGTAATTTGAGTGTTTGACATGGCAGTTGATGGAGATTCTAGACAAACCATTGCACGATTATTTTGAGGAGAACAACTGCTTGAATTATTTATTCTGTTTCCGATGGATTCTTGTACAATTCAAAAGGTAAACCAGAGTTTCTTGTATAATTAATAAAAACACATAGGGTCAAAATCGTAAAATCTATAAAAGGAGGACAAAGTTTATAAAATAATATGGATTATGTTATCTTGTATTAATTATAAAATGATTATGTCAGGGAATTCGAATACGAAGAAATAATGAGATTGTGGGAGATTTTATGGACTCATTATCCAAGTGAACATCTTCATCTTTACATATGCATTGCAATCCTAAAAACACATAGGGTTAAAATAATGGGGGAGCTAATGGACTTTGATACCCTTTTCAAATACATCAACGAGTTGAGTTGTCACATTGATCTTGACTCGGTGCTTTCTTACTCAGAAGCTCTATGCATGTCCGCCGGAAAAAATGGTGCTGCGGCCATTCCTCCCGGAACACCGCCAGTTGTGGCTTGAAAAACAGTAGAGTCAAATAAGAGATCTGATTACCAAATAAAAAAAATCAACTCGGTTTTTTAGTTGATTTTAAGCTTTATAACATGGTTTTATATATGTATATATATGGAAAGGAAATTAAATGTAAGTAAATGTTTAGAATTAGTAGAGCTTTTCGACCATGTTCTGTTTATTTCTATAAAACCCAAGTGATTTTAGAGTTTAGTTGCTTTTCTTTTACTTAGAAATTTATGTTTTTGTTTGATCAATAAAAGTGTGTTCTTCAGTTCATGTGTGAAATAAAACAGATAATAACACAAACTAAACCATTAACAGTTATTATTGGGTCAAAATTATAATCATGTTGATGTTGACCTATACAAGAGTTTGTGTATTTAGAGTTCTAACCACGAAGTTATTATCTCCATTTCGCGGAGGGGCCGAACTTGCGTAACTACGAAAGTGTATGGAGTAAACATGCAAATATACCAAAGTCTTGTGACCAAAGTGTGAAACAAAAAAGTATAGGGATGAAACATGACAATATATTGTGGGGACGTGCGGGTGGCGTATTTTGGGAGTTTTTTTATTAGGTATGGACTATTTTTGTAATTTTTTAAATACATGAATTGTTTATGTAAACAAATGCATAATGACATTTTTTTGTAAATTACAAGGAGAATTTTTCTAATTTATTTTCTATATAGAGGTCAAACCTATCAATATACAAAAATATTAAACATATGGACTGTTTGTATAAAAAAATCTTCATATGGATGTGTTTTGTAAATTATGAAATTATAGAGATTAAATATGCCAATATTCAAAACTTTTATGCAAAAAATCTAAAATGTAAAAGTGCTTAGGGACTAAATCTACCAATATTTAAAACCTTTATGGCAAAAATCTAAAATAAAAAAGTGTTTAGTGACTAAATCTGCTATATCCAAAATCTCTATGGCAAAAATCTAGATGAAAAACTTTACTGTTCATTTTAAATTTCAAATTAGATATAGTTAATTCTAGTTTTGAAAAATAAAAATACGGTTTTCTGTTTAAGATGAAGATGTTTTCATTTAGTAATTTGTTTATTTTAAAATGTATTCATGTGTTAAGTTTATCAATTTTCAATTTAAATAAATAAAGGTTTAAGATGAAGATGTTTTCTGACGATTTTATAGTAATGTATTTTGATTAAACCAGAATATAACATTATGTTTGGCATTCAAATGTCCATTGAAATTTGAAACCATTAAACTTTATATGGACCGTTCTCGATATTATTATTATTTTTTAGATAAAACATAAAATGATCAAGAACCATAAGTTTAGAAAAAAAATGATCAGAACATAAAATAATGAGTTTTGTTTTTTTTTTTTTTTTTTTTGAGGTTTTCCCATGGCCTTTCAAATTTGACATTGTCAAATTTACATGTCAAATACGACCACAAAAAATTATGATATACTTTCTTGATAAAAAGATTTAGGATATTATATAACTTACATTCACATTCTAAAGAATTTAATTTCCAGATGACGTAGTTTTTGAGTTCACAAAAATAATCTTCTGAAAATAATGTATATTTATTATTTTTAAACTATCGGTTAAAAACGAGACTTCTATTGACATTTTTCTGAAAATAAATAATTTTAACGAGTTTGTGTTAATACTAATAGACCAAAATTCCAAATTAGCAAATGGTTCAGAGAACTATCTATGATGGTCAAATTGTTCATAGATAGTAAATTTCAACTAATAAATGTTTTCTACACTTCAACACTTCTCTCTTCAAATGCAAATTATTTTTTAGTAAAATTCAACTAATAAATGTTTTCTACACTTCAACACTTCTCTCTTCAAATGCAAATTATTTTTTAGTACAAAAGAGGGAAATGAGCTTTGGTGCTTTGCTGCGAGTGTATAGAGAACTTTTAAAGTTTTAATAGTCTATGCCAACTTTTATTATTGTATAATTTTAAGAGTTATAAAGATAAAAAAAAGTTATAGCAATCAATGAGTAAGAATGATTTTAAGTGAGAGTTGGGAAAAGATTCTTTCAAAGTTAAAGAGGAAATTGTTAGAGAAATGACAATTATTTGGATTTTAAGATGCAAGTTATACTTACAATTTGGTTGCAAATGAAAACTTATTAAGTATTTTTTATGACATTTTCAATAACTTACATTATTTGTTTATTTTAAAGGTATTGTTTACGGCATTTCATCAACAACTTTTATGACAAGTTTCGTAATTCGGAATCGAAAGCTTTAACTTATCGTGCTGGGAGTTAGAATCAAATTCGAAAGTTCAACTCCATCATAGAAGAAATTGGGAAAGCTAAATCCACGTGCTCAACATTGGCTAGAGAGTCATCAACTTATAAATGGACACACATGATCGTGGGAGAAGATATGAGTTGCTCACAACAAATTTGTCAAAAAATTCAAGCAGTGTACTTAAAGGTGTTCATTTTTTACCAATCACAGCTTGTGTGCAACTTACATTTTATAGAATAGTGCATTATTTTGATGTGAGACATCCTTTAGGATCTAGTTCTCAATCTAATGGAGATGCACATACTCCACATGTGTTGCAAAGCAAGTAGATTTGATTGCAAAAGCAAGTGTACATTCCTTAAGATCTTTTAACCGAGAAAAAAATATATTTTAGTTGATAATTCAAATAGGTCGAAATGTGCAAGTAGCTAACTTGGAACAAAAAACTTGCACATGTGGTAAGTGTGAGACATTTAAATATCCTTATTCTCATGTCTTGAGTACATGTGCTAAATTTTCTTTGAGTAATTGACAATATGTTGATAAATGCTACTCAATTGCATATTATTATGCTACTTATGCATCCGAGGTCTCCATGCTTCCTCATGAAGTGTATTGGCAATCATCATATAATGAATTCTAAATTTAGAATTATTTTCGAATAAAAAAGATCGTCATCGTTCAACAAGACTAAGAAATGGTATGGATATTAAAGAATGAAGAAATGCCAACCTTTGTGGAATTTGTAAGCAATCGGGTCATAATAACCAACGATGTCCATCTAAACCAAGGTAATTAAAAGATGATATTTTTATGGTATTGTTATGACTGTTCTCTTAGTTATATATTATTTTTCTTTTTTCAAGTTAATCGTGATATTTTTCTTTTTGTAACAAACAATGTTGGAGTTTTTTTTAATCATGGTGGGTTTTTTTTTTTTTCTAACAAAAAATTTGGAGTTTTTTTTACCTTAAAAACATTGTATGTGTAATGTTGGAGTTTTTACACCTTAAAATATATTGTATGTGTAATGATAATTTTAATTTATGGTGACTAAAATTTGATGTTCAAAATAGTTTATATAACAAAAACAGATATTTAAAAAAAATGAAATAAAGGAAATAAAAAAAAAAAAAGTTGACAGCACACGCGCAACACTTGCCCTCTTGTTGCAGTTTGTTTTTTGGAAGACTTCAGAATACAAAACCTCTCCACAAGTTCTGCGCGGCGCAACATTTGACTTGCCTCTTCAAACCTCTTCGACTTTCATTTTTTCCAAATGATTTTTTTAGAAATTTGTTATAACTTATTATTTTTTTTTAAACTTTGATATTTTTTTAAACTTTGATTTTCTTTTTAAAACTTTGATTTACGGATTTGATACAAATTTTTTTTATAGTTTCCATAAATTTTTATAATTTTATTTACCATTTTTGTTAATAATATTTTCAGTTTCGGTTGCATGTTTTTTAACATGTATAATTCTTTTACGAACTTTGTAGACATTGTTTGCAATAATTTCTTAATTTTTTTATTATTTTCTTTTTTTAATTTTTTTTAAAATTAGTTTTTTTTTCTAGAATAAAAATGATAGTTTCTTATATATATATATATATATATATATATATATATATTAAATTTTTTTATATTTTTATGTTTTTACATGTTTTTTTAGTATTCTTTCAATGTTTTAAGACTATAGTTATTAAAATTTCTTTGTTGAGAACTATTTCCAGTTTATAAAATTAGTTTATTTAAATTTTAGTTTACTGCAGTCTGCAGATGTTAAAAAATAAACATGCTTCTTATTACACACTATAACCGTTTAGTCAAGCTCTTCTGCTGTAGAGGATTGCGGAGGTTGTCCGCAGAGTTTATGAATTTTTACTTCGAAAAAACAAACAACACCGAAATACAGAAAAAGTGAGAAAAACCGGATATTTAAAAAAAATATATTAAGAAGAAATAAAAAATAAAGAAAAATGAAAATATTAGATTGATAAATATTTTAAAAAATACATTATATATATATATATATATATATATATATATATATATATATATATATATATATATATATATATATCTGACAAATTAAATATCCTCCTACTTTTCATCTTAATTATCTTCCTACCCATTTGAAATTATGACAAATGTCATAAAATATCATTAGTTTATCTAAATATGACACTTGTCACAATTTCATATGGGTACGAAGATAAGTAAGAAGAAAATGTAGGAGGATATTTAATTTTTCTCTCTCTCTCTCTCTCTCTCTATATATATATATATATATATATATAGAGAGAGAGAGAGCTATGTTCATTTGTTTAAACTAATTATTGTGTTATTGTATACATAAATGTGGGCCAATCAAAATTAAATAAAAAATTAAATAATTAAATAAATAAATAAGGGTAATTTAGTAATTTGTTCAATAACTTCCAAAAATAATCCCTATAATCATGGTATTGACTTTTATTAAATCTCGTTCCCCTCTTTATATAAAAACCAATTTCTGAAAACCCTAAGTTGAGCAACAGACTGCTGATCCCCTCGTTAAACCATTCCAGTTCTCCAACCACGTAGCCACTGTTGATCGCAACTATAGACCGACGATTGCAGACCCATCGCACCCGAATGACGTGCTCTGATGGTCGTCTAGATCGAAGAAGGACGTGGGTCGAAGCAGCGGGGCTGCTTTCGTCCTCTGTGGCTTTGAAGTGCGAAGCAGGGAGGGTTAGATGAAGAAGTCAGAAAAGTTCCCGGTTAGAATAAGGAATCAAATGGGGGTATCGGTGGTGTTTGCTCGACAATCCCGGTGTTTCCCCCTTGTTTCGGCAGTCCCGATCAACGACAGGTAAAAAAATGTCTCGATAAACCCAACTAACCCTGATGTTTAGATAGTCATCAAACATCAATAAAAATCTTTCAAAACCACTTCGTGTTACAAGCATCTTGCTGTAATTTGTTTTAACTCTGTGTACGTGTACCTATTATTTGAGATACATGCTTATGTATATTTAGATTCTGCCCACCAACTGTTCGCTGAAATGCTTGAATGAAACAGTTCCTCTATTTCCATCCAAACAGAAAGACAAACAGTTCCTCTAATTATGTTGGCATTTGTTCACGAATTGTATGAAATCGCGAATCAAATTATGTTGGAATGGAATCATGAATTCTAATTATGTTGGAATGGAATCACGAATCCATTTCTCTTTAATGGTTTTTGTGTGACTTTATTTTGGTTTGCTTGAATTTTATGCTTGAATTTTATCTTATATTGTTGGTTAATAATGATCAAGTGTTGAATATCATTATTTTTTGTAGGTACGAAACGAGAGATATCAAAGCAAAACATGATACATATGAAACTTACAACATTCTACTGGAATGGAATCTTGAATTCTGATTCTGTGAGAATAGAATCTTGAAGATGAACATTGTATGGGATGAAGATGAACAATGACCACCAATCTTCCAAAAAGAATGGATTATTCTACCAGAATAATATACAATATAATGAAAAAAATTTATATGTAATAGTATATTCTGGTAGAATGATTCATATATTGTGTTTTTTTGTGTTATTAATAAGTGCAACATTCGTATAGAATAGTATATAATTTTTTTTTCTTTTCAAAGAATGTAATGAAATTTTTTTTAACTTGTATCCAAAATTTTGTTATTCTTCAAGAAGTTCATTAAATCAAAATATATATTATGTCAGAATGTGTAATTCTTGTATGATTCAATCATATTTGTTATTTTTCAATATATTGATAAACATATTACGTCAGAATTTTCGAATTAGGATAATTATCATCCTTACAATCAGATTTTTAAAATTAATAGAATCTATTTTCCTTAAAATATGTAATTTTTCCTTTTTTAAATTTATGTTAATTGACTAAAATACCCTTAGAATGAAATTAGTTGGTATTTTTTAATTATATTTAATTTAATAATATGCATTATTCACTTTCCAAAATTAAATAAAATGATTGACTCACAATTATGCATACAATAACACAATACTTAGTTTGAATAGAATAACCTAGGCATATATATATATATATATATATATATAGATATATATATATATATATATCTATATATATATATAACACTATTTTGTCAAAAAAAAAAAAAAAAAAAAAAAAAAAAAAAAAAAAAAAAAAACTCCTCAATTTGTTTTGTCAACGTGAGTTTGTAAAAAAGAAAAATTAAAACCAAAACCATGCTAACCAATTTTATTCGGTTGAATATTTGATGTTTTAATTTTTTTGTAAAAACATGATAATCGATTTTATTAAATATTTGTTGTTTTATTTTTATTTTTCAATACAAAAGATATTCCTGAAACTTTTTTATAAATATAAATGACCGAAGAAATAATAAAATAATGATAAATTATTATAAATACAATGAATATTTTTTGAAAAAATTTGCGATATTTTTTTTACATATGGAGTATATTTTATGTATACGGCCCAACGGAATGTACACGGTCACCAGCTCACTGTTGAGCAGATTTCCAATACTCGGTTAACGTGGCTGTTCGCTATTAGTTTGTCAGTTTCTCTACTATTTGCTCTCGTCTTAGATAAACATTTTCCCGAGACGAATTCACTCCCGCTTCACCCCTCTCTCTATATATCTATCTTCAATGAACGCTCGATCATAGCCTTCAATGTCGATGTAATAGATTTAAGCAAATGGTGTAATTTCGAATTTGGGTTTTTGATCATAACGCGTCTGATTGAGGTATGTTCTATCAATTCTTAATTCTTTACATGCATTACATCCCAATTTGGTGTTTTATACACCATACATAGGAACATTGTTCGATTTTTTTTCATCCTTGGTTTCAGTGATTTAATTTGGGTAAGTTTTTATTCGATTTTTATTAGTTGTGACTAATTATATATACCGATTCATGATGAGTATGTTCGTTTCTGGTTTTTGATGCTCGAAAGTGTTGTTAATTATCTGTGTTCATAAAGCTTTAATTTTTCATCTTCGATAATCCAAGCCGACACCATATACCAGGTGTTTGTGTTCATGCGTCACTGAGCTTTAAACCATCATTCTTCCAGATGTTCATAATCACGAGATTTGAGTTGAGTTTTTCTTGCATGTTTAGAGGTTGATGTTCCTGTTCATGAAACACCCATGCTAATTTCTTGAAGTTTTTCAATTAGCATGATGAATTTTAGAAACCACATTCGATTAAAAACACTCGATACGAATTTCACTAGTCCCTTTTTCGAATCTTGGATTGAAATGCTAAAACTGTGAAAATACCTATGTAATTTAGGGTTTGTTATTCTTCAATTAAATTAATACATTTGTTTATCCCAAAGTTTAGATCTTGATATACTTGAGAATTAACTAGGGTTTTATTTTTTAATCGACATCCACTTTCTTTCAGCAATCCCAAAGCAGCTTCTGTACTACTTTTCTCAAGCAAACCAAGGGAAAAAACACAATTCTTGTTGAGAGTCTTCTATTTAAAAAAAATAGTTTCTGATTATTGTATTCAGAAACTCAAATACAGCATATATAAATTCATCAATCTCCTAACATATAATCTACTTTTTATACAGATCATGGAAGCAAGATCCAAAGATTAATTTCTGCTAATTATAATTCTGATCATCATGCCCCCAACCATTACAGTCTCTAAACGACATCTTCCCGGATACAAATGCTTAATAATCTTAATCCTCCTCCCAATTTCTTTCACCATTATCTTCAACCACTACGAAAAAATCACCTACTTTTTACGCCCACTATGGGACACCCCACCACGCCCATTCACCTACATCCCACACTACTACGCAGAAAACGCTTCCATGGCCACCCTCTGCCGCCTCCATGGATGGACCTTACGTTCTCACCCTCGTAAAGTCTTTGACGCCATCATCTTCAGCAACGAACTAGACTTACTAGAAGTCAGATGGGGTGAACTTAATCCATACGTCACCAAATTCATAATCCTTGAATCAAACACAACCTTCACAGGTATCCCAAAAGATCTCACTTTTGCTTCAAATCGCGAACGTTTCTCTTTCGTTGAAGATAAAATCGTATACGGTTTCCTCCCTGGGAAATTAGCGTCCATGGGTAAAACCGTAAATCCGTTTTCAGTTGAAGCACATCATCGGGTTTCCATGAACGGGTTGATTGCAAGTTCAGGTATCTCTAATGGCGATTTATTGATTGTAGCGGATACTGATGAGATACCAAGTGCGAATACTGTGAAGTTGCTTCAATGGTGTGATGGGTTGCCACCTGTAATGCATCTTGATATGAGAAAGTATTTGTATTCTTTCGAGTTTCCAACTGACCCCACATGGAAGGCGACAAGTCATGTGTTTAATGAACATCGTACGAGATATATGCATTCAAGACAAACGGATCTTGTGCTTTCGGATACTGGGTGGCATTGTAGTTTTTGTTTCAAGTATTTGAGTGAGTTTGTGGAGAAGATGAAGGCGTATAGTCATGCAGATCGTGTGAAGAGTAAAGAACATTTGGATCATGAAAAGATTCAGGAAAAGATTTGTAATGGAGATGATCTTTATGGGATGTTGCCTGAAGAATATAGTTTTAAGAACTTGATTGGGAAGATGGGGTCGATTCCTCGTTCAGTTTCTGCTGTTCATCTTCCAAGTTATTTGATTGAAAATGCAGAAAAGTTTCGGTTTCTTCTTCCTGGAGGTTGTTTACGTTCACCTGATTGATTGAATCTTTCTTGTTGAAATATAATTAATCTTTAAGTATGGAGATTAAGTATTGTTATATATATGAAGTTATGAGTTAATTAGTTAATCTTTTTGATTTCTTGATGCTACTTCTTTTATATTTCATGGAAAAGAAAATCTCGTGTGTCGTGATTTTAATAAAAGTGTAGCCCATGCACTCATGCATGTGATTAAACGATTCAATTCGTTCTTTTACTCACATGCATCCATAGACTTCATCCACAACATCCATCAATCAATATTGTGTAATAAAGGAAGTGAAAGAAGAAAGTCTCCCAATGCTTTATCCTTTCTTAGTGCAGAAAGTGGCTATATACCCCTCTATGACACGTACATGTTACACACATGCAAGAAAAAGGCAATTTCATTCAATTAAAAAGCAGGATATAAGGCTGTACGCTTGGCTATGTGAGGTTCTACTCTTGGCTAAATTGCTGAATATAAGAAAGAAAAGTGATGGGGAAAGGGACATGCATTACAAACACAAGAATTGACAACACTAGGCGATCCTTTTTGATTGCACAAATTTAGAAAAAGAAAAGAAGTACTTCTTTTGGGGTTTTATGATGAAAAAGAGAAAGAGAGATGACAAGAGAGGAGGGGGGGGGGGGGATCATATACGAGAAACATGGGCAGCATCACGACACCATATGTCTAGCACGTCATTTGAAGATTAGAAAGACAGATTCATCATCCATTGAAGAACACAAGCTTCTTGGAATCATTTTGGGTACTGATTTTTGCGGATTTGTACATCATTTGACGAGAGTTTAATTTTACTTTGTGTTTTATTTCTTTAACTTGGCGTTGAAAATTAGATTTGCAAACATGTCTATTAACTTAATTTTAGAACGGGATTAGGAGGTTTGAAGTCAAGGCCGTAGTGGTGAAATACATGATGGGATGTCGGAGGTTGGAGTATATTGTTAACTAAAAGTTGTATCTTGGTCCCTTTGGTTGTATGTGTTACCTCTAACGAGTCTCATTTAAAGACTAAAGAGAGAAGCTAGAGAAAGGAAGTTGATGGAACTTAGAAGAAAGGAACAAAAAATTGATATTAATTCTTGAATTTTTTTTATGGAAAGAATCATAAATCATAGAAAGGAAGATGAACTGAAGGAAGAAAAAATAATCTTTCCTTTTAACTTTCCTTCATGTCTCAACCCAACCATATTATGTCGACATATACAAACAGATAACAATAACCAACAACACAGTTAATCATACATATCTACGAATGTAACAGATCACTACACTATACCAAGATCACTACACTATACCAACATCCTATATACAATGACACATATTGTAGTGTAAAGTATAGTGATAAAACTAACTTTACAGCCTAGTAGAAACAACACTGATCACAGATCCAAAAACCAACACTACAGGTCACCTATACAGCAAACAAGGACCACATCTCAAATACAAACCAAAACCGTAAATTTGACCTAAAGTCAAAATTGGTCAAAAAGTCAACGGTCAAAGTCAAAGCTAACACTCAAAAGTCATACAGCCGGTCGCCATGTCGTGACCACCCTCTGGTCCCGTCGTGGCAGAGTGAAGACAAATTAATCGCAAAACAACCCCTCGTCACGTCCTGACGACTAACTCGTCATGTCGTGAAGAACGCTTTGGACAACTTAATGCCTCAAGCGCTTAATCCTTCAAGCCAAGCAACTAAACTTTCTAAAAGGCTTTCTACTTCTCAAAATACCATAAAAATCGTGGTTTTTTAGACATGCATATCCAATGCATGTCTTATACACCAACTAGGTCAAAATGAAAGGAAAAGAGGTCAAATCTCATGCATGGACCCTAAATCTCACTAATATTCTAGATCTGGGACATATAGATACAAGGGAGTCACAAGAGATCATAAAGTTTCCAACTTTATGAGTTTCCAACACTTAAACTCCCTCAAAAGATGAGAAAAGTGAACTAAACCATAGATCTAGCATGATTGAGCTAATAAGGCAAGAACTTGAGGACTTATAAGAGTCCTAATGCAGCTCAAGATGATGAGGGAGTGGCTTGCTAGCTGAAATGATGCACCAAAATGCATTATCTTTTTCTTCAAGGATTCAAATCACCAAAAAGGAGCTCAAAGATCAAAAATGGAGGATTAGGGTTTCTTGAGGATGAAAAGAGGTGATGGAGGCTGAGGGTGTGCAAACCCTAACCCTCACTTCCCTTAAATATGGGACAATCCCCAAAATTAGGGTTTTAGCACGCAAGGGGTGTCACATCATGACCAAAAATGGTCACATCGTGACAACAAAAGGAAATGCGCATTCATCCGGGTACCGTCACATCGTGACACACAAGTGCTCACGTCATGACCGGTTTTATCCTTCAAATTGATTGATAATTACGAAATAATGTTTACCTGGAACTGGGTGTTACAATTCTCCCCTACTTGAACTAGATTTCATCATGGAAATCTTCAACTGCAAATAAATCTGGGTAGTGCTCGCGCATCTTCGACTCGGACTCCCAAGTCCACTCAAAGCCCTTCCTATGTTGCCACTGAAGCTTGACTAAGGTACCACTTTATTGCGCAAGGTCTTCGTCTTCCTATCGAGAATATCCACCAGCCTCTCCACATAACTTAGGCGCTCATCGACCTGAATGTCGTCTAACGAAACCACTGACGTATCATCAATCAAGCACTTCGAAAGCTGAGACACATGGAAGGTGTTATGGCTCCGACTAAGGTCCTCATGTAGGTCCAACCGGTAGGCCACCTTTCCTACCCTGTCCACCACTTTAAAAGGTCCGATAAACTGGGGGCCCAACTTGCCCCGCTTCCTGAAGCGTATGACACCCTTTCAGATACCTTCAACAGAACCATGTCCCCAACCTGAAAGTCCAACTCAGATCAACGCCTATCAGTGTAACTCTTTTGCCGGCTGTGTGCTGTCTATAACCTCTGTCTGATCTTCTGAATAAGCTCTATCATCTGGAGAACCACCTCAATCCTTACCATGACCCTATGACCGACCTCTCTCCAATAAACTGGAGTACAATACTTCCTCCCATAAAGAAGCTCATACGGCGGTGCACCAATGTTGGAATGATAGTTGTTGTTGTAAGAAAACTCAGCTATGGGGAGGAAGGAGTCCCAAATCCCACCGAAATCGATGAAACAAGTCCTCAACATATCCTCGAGCGTCTGAATAGACCGCTCACTCAGACCATCAGTCTGAGGATGATAAGTAGTGCTGAAGTGAAATATCATACCCAACTCCTCATGAAACCTCTGTCAAAACCGAGAAATGAAATTCACATCACGATCAGATATGATGGAAACTGGTACACCGTGGCGAGCAACAATCTCATACACATATTCATCAGCCAACTTCTCGGCAGAAGAAACTCTCTCGAATGGAAAGAAAATGCAGACACTTGGTCAGTCGGTCAACAATAACCCATATAACATCAAATCCCTTGGCTGTCCTTGGCAATTTGGTGATGAAATCCATAGTGATCTGGTCCATTTCCACATGGGAACCTCCACAGGCTGCAACTTGCTATGCCGCGCTCTGGTGCTCTGCCTCTACCATCTGGTAGGTCAAGAATCTATCCACATACCATGTTATCTTTCGCTTCATGCATGGCCACCAATAGTTCAGTCTCAAGTATTGATACATCTTCATGGCTCCATGGTGAATCAAAAACCTGGACTTGTGTGCCTCCTCTAACAATATATGTCGGACCCCAGCTGAAGTTGGGAGCCAAACCCATCCGCACTGGGTCATAAGCCCGTGACTATCAATAGCAAATTTTCCAATCTGGCCCATGATATTCTCCTTCTTCTAATTTTCCCTCACAATTCCCTCGGTCTGAGCCTCCCTAATCAAATCCAGTAGTGGTGAGTGGTTATCCTCAAATATAATCCTCGAATGGGAGCACCAACCATCATGCAGCTCAAAGCATTGGCGACCGCATCGGCCTTGCCTAGATGATATGGAATCTCATAGTTATAATCCTTAACTACATCAAGCCACCTATGTTGCCTCATGTTCAGATTCAGCTGATCCATAAGATATATTAGGCTCTTGTGATCCGTGTAGATCGTCCATCGGACCCCATAGAGATAGTGTCACCAAATCTTGAGGGTAAATACCACAGCTCCCAACTCCAAATCGTGAGTCGGATACCTAACCTCATGAGGCTTCAGCTGCCTGGAAGCATACGTAATGACCCTACCCCGCTGCATGAGTACCACCCTAAACCCATGATTGAAGCATCATAAAATAGCACAAAATCCTCAACACCCTCTAGAAGAGTCAATACTGGGGCCTCATATAACCTCTACCTCAGAGTCTCAAATGTAGCCTGCTGCTCAGCCCCCTAGTGAAAATACACACTCTTCTTTGTCAAGCGAATCAGAGGAACATCAATCTCTGAGAAATCCTAGATGAATCTTTGATGGTAACCTGTCAACCCAAGAAAACGCATGATCTCAGATGGAGACATCGAGACCTCCCACTGCATAACTGTGACATCCCCAAAATCACGGCCAGAAAAGACCGTTTTAATTTATGCTTTTAAAATAGTTTCAGAGTAAATCCATTGATTTAAAAGTGTTGCAAAATTTGTTCCCAAAACAAAATATGATAAAATAAAGTTTATCAAAGCATTTCATCAAGAGATTCATTTTCATTATATAACAATATTCGGGATGTCATGTTCCGATAAACAGACCAAAATCATAAACAACAAAAGATAGACCATACAACAGTTACATATAACAATTGGTCTAATATCAAAAGATCTTGATAAGTCATCCAACTTATGCTCTCGCGCCACTACCTGTAATACAACAAAACTGAGTGGGTCAGGCTTGGGAGCCTGGTGAGCATATAGGGTTTTCAACCCACAATAAATAATTATATTTAATTTCACCAACCAACAATAACCCGATTACCCATTCCCGTTATCCTCACTTTACGTCCCTAAAACAACATCTATTA